TAACAGTCGACTGTTTGGTCGGTAAACAGTCGAAACAGTCGACTGTTAAAAGAAAATAAAACACCCGGAATAAGCCAAAATTTTGTCCAAAAAGTTAATATATTGTAAAGGTCGACCCGGACCCGCACCGAACCGGGCTCGTGCCGTGTCGAGCCTAGCCGGCCGGTCGGACGGACGGCTGCGGCGGCGCGTGCGTGTGGGTTTATGAACGAACCCAATAGGATATAGGTCTTCCCCCTTCCAAAAACTATTGGTACCCCTTGGGGCCCAAACCCAATTCCAAACTTCCACCTTATAAACCACACCAAAGTTTCCTAACTTTCCTATGTGGGATAAGTGTTTGGCAAATCAAATTCTTCCATAATCCTTAGTTTATGTGGGTTACTGTAACACTTAATATTTCATTCAATTTTAAATGGTTTTCGATAAATAAATATATCACGTTAATCATCTCGCGGAGTAGAACGTGAATATGCTAGGTCCCGTATTATTTAAAAGGTGGGTCCCACTGAAATTTGGGCTCAAAGTTGACCCATTAAACCATTTTTTCCAATAGAATCAAGGTCTATGTTGTTGCCCCTGTTTGATGCCATTTGGGATTTTCAATGTTTTGAATAGGGAATTTTTGAACAATGTGTAATCTAAAAGTAGAAAAAAAATTGAATTCACATAATTTTCCATTGTCTAAAGTTTTTGTAGTCGATTGTATGAGTTTTGTGTTCTCCATTTTACCAAATCTGCATTCCAGTCTTGTTGTTCCCCTTTGTCCTGTTCTTTATGTCCTGAATCATATGTTTTGTTGTAGCACAATGTTGGTTTAAAGTATGGTCATTTGCATGTATTATTGTTTAATGTGGGTAATTATATGCCAGATTGTGAAGAAGACCCTGACTTCGTAGATTCCAACCACAACTTTGAGTCCGAACAAGACGACATTGAATACAATAGACATGTAATTGATGGGATGGAAATTGGAATGGATGATTGTCAAGATGAAGTTCAGGACCAACGGGAGGAGGGTTGTGATAATGAGTTGGAACTACCGTCATCAGAGGAACTACTCCCCCAATGTTCGTCCGATGAAGATGGTAGCTATCATTTTCCTGAATTCTTCATTGATCAAGATTTGAAAAATCCGTAGTTCGAGGTAGGGCAGTTGTTCAGAAAGAAAATACGTTGTCTTGGCAATGGTTCTTGGCCTATCATTTAGACGATATTAGGATAGGAAATGGGAGAGGTTGGACTCTTACGACCGACAGACAGAAGGGTCTACAGAATGTGAATCTGTGAACTTTGAATCTTTGATGATGTCGTGGACGACTTGCATGAATCTGCGAATACGGAGCATGAATGGCTCGAAAATGACAATGAATTATGCTGATCTAACCTAGCTGTTTTTAGTTGTTGGGAAAAATTGTGGACATTATGCAGATCTTTTTTTTGAGCAATCCATGCAGATCTGGTTTTTTTGTCGTGGGTCGGCCCGTATTTTTGTTGTGTGTTGACCTAGTCTTTTGTCGTGGGTTGACACTGAAATTATGTAGATCCGTATTTTTTTGCTGTTATATTTATGAAGTTCAGGATGTTTTTGGCTGTTATATCTGATTTTTTGCTTGTTTGTCCATCTTATTTTCTTATTATTCTTTTCTAAAAGATAGGATGTCTTGACTCAAAAAGTAAATGAGTTGAAGAATAACCTCAGCACATTAGCTAAGAATCCAATGAAATGGAAAAGGGCAAAAGAATGGGAAAAATGAACACGGAAGCACGAGTTAACCAGCTTCATGATTCAAACATAGTTTATACCAATAAAAAAGACTTGAAAATCCAAGTAAGCTAAAATAGGAAGTTCTGATAATAAAATTCATACAAAGTTTGGCAAGAATTCCTGCACTATCAAGACACAGATTTGCTTGGCCACAAATTCGGCTAACTACAATACAGGCCATTAATTTCATTACATATTCGACTAAAATTCACGGCATTTTTTCCTTTCCTTTCCATCGACTTCTGTATCTCCTTTACCAATGCAAATAGTCACATTAACGGAGATCATTGTGTCCTTCCGATAGGCTATGTGAGCGACACTCTGTAACATGCGTGACAAGTCTGCAATCTGATCTACGCTCGATGCTCCTTCAAGACACGGGGGGGTTCTTCTTCAATGGCTGGATGACCGCGCCCACCTATAATAACCACAGTCTCTGCTACAACATAATAATCAACCGAAGTTTACGATTTTTTCTCCACTTCCATACACTTGACAATGCCTAAAAAACAGCCTGGGCATTGTCGTTTCGTCGGGCAGTCAGACATCCAATGCCCCGACTTCCTACTGCTACGACAAACACCCTTGCTCTTCCTTGTCATTGACAACTGCAATTGCATTCACAAATGTCCATAAGTAATCATCTGAAAACTAAATTGATGGAAGGTGTACAATATGCATCAACAAATACTATTGCGCAGAGAGGTAAACATAAACTGTATTCCCGCTCCACCGTTCAACGGCAACAAAATTATTCAAAAATAAATCCTAAATAAATTAGAAAAGAATGTAAAACAATCTTAGTATATAAATTAAACAAAAAAACCTAAATCTAAAAAGGCTAATTATCATAAGTAAATTACAGAATCAACGAGGACCCATAAACAGACAAACGTATTAAAAATCTTGGAGATGACGAAGCAACCACATCAAGAATCACCCCACCGAACAAGGTGGTCAAATTCCTCTCTGACCTACAGAAGACATACGGATAGTGGATATGCTTCAGGGGTGAAAAACTTACTTATTATACGCTGGCGCTTTCTGATTTACGAACCTCTACTACAGTCTTTCAGCCGATTGGAGACGATTTTGGGGCGTAGGGTTCTACCAATGCGAATTGGGAAAAATGCAAAATTTCATTTTTTCCATAAGAAGGGTTTAAGTATTGCACCTTTGAAGCCGCCCTTTTACAATTTCGAAAACGGGTTTGCCGAAATGGCGTTGATTTGGCAATTAATTTCTTATTTGGAAGCATTTAACCGGCCAAGTCAGCTTTCCGTCATCCACATAGGTGCCTTATTAACCGGGTTTTAAATAAGTGAGTAATGGAGTTGGACGGAATGAAGTTCAGTGGACAACGGGACAATTTTGAAAGTTCGGTGTGTAAGTCATGACTTAGTGCAAAGTTCGGTGGCTAATGAAACATTTAACTCTAAAGTTTGATGTGTGTTGCAACAATTAACCCAATTAAAAGGCAAACTAATTTTCATTTTCGGTCTCCATAACCGACATCTATAGGAAATTTGGAGGTATTTTTAAGATTAACCAAGTCAAATAACCACTTTGTCACATTGACCAATTCATTTTTCACATTCACTACAATGGTCCTATGAAATGTAAATGATGATTTTACCATTTTTATATGTTGTATTTACAAAAATATATGATTGTTAAAAAGACAATGGTACCTCTTCGTAAATAACAAATAAATTACAAACACTCTCACGTAAATTTCAAAATCAAATCAGTTTCCTCATCAGTTTTTGCAACACACAGATAAAAAGAAAGTTCAATTTTTATGAGCTTCAACATTGGGATCTCACAAAATTATCAAAAGTTCAACAAGAAAATATTATTCACAACCAGCACTCGAAATTGGTAAGTATATTTTACGTATTTTTAATTTTATTATAGCTAAATAAGTATATTGT